ATTAGTGCACTAAGTGTTTTCCAGAAGTTAAAGTTGTACCTTAGTGAATGAAGGTAAAGTGTGTTTGATTTTATGTATTTAGGCAAGCTTCGTGGGTGGTGTTGCAGCTACTGTATAACCTTAATGGTAGCGCGTAATTAGTCCCTCAGATGACTTAGCATTGCTGTACATTGTTGATTTACATCATTTGAACACTTATGCTGTCCTAAGGGCCTACCCAGGGCCCCAGATTGCCACACTGCTCACACCCTCACCAATCTAGTCAGAAGTCTAAAGAGAACAAGTATTTTAATGATAATTGTCACGTTGTCAGTCTCTGTCCTGGCTCTGCCCTTTGTTGTTAGAACCAGTCCCTGTCTTTGTCGCCGTTTCCCCGCCCTTGCTACCTGCTCCACCCAAACTCACCTGTCATCCATCTGTGTAATCAAGCAGCCAGAGTAAAAGTAAAAGCCAGCTCTCACCGTTTATTCACTCTCATGACCTTCTGGTGTTTGTCCTCTCTGCTCATCCTGAGTTTGATCCATGTACTTTCTTGAACTCTGATCCTGATTTTCTCAAGCTGCTGGAATCATCTGTGAATGAACCTGTTTTACTCCTTGTAACATATTGTGTTACTTTATATAAACCCTCTATTTTCTTGTTTTTCTGGGCACCTGCTTATCTTAGAGCTGTATTCATTGATTTCTTTTTGCAGAAACATGTTGAAACACGCTAAGCTAGTGTTTTATCACATTATAATGTTATTATAGTGAATTTGTTACCACTTGTTACTTGTGGTAAATTTAAGTGTGATATTGACTATATTTTGTTCACCACCAGTGTCTGATGGAAATATGTCTCCTTAGCTGCTAAACACTGCACTATGTTCACCAGATAGACAGTAAATGTTTTCTGATAGACGTATCGTGTACAGTCGGTTTATTGTTGCTCTTTGTAAGTGTAACCCGTCCTCAGAACCAGGGACCAGGACCCAAGTCCAGCATGCCGAGGACCAGCATGCTGAGACAAGGAGTGGGAGGAGGGGCCCCTGGACCCTCGGCTGTATGGGAGAAATACGAAGTATGAAGAAATACGCAGGTGTATTGATATCTGCGATGGCAGATGAGTGTCGAGTCTACAACACCAAGCATGTCACATGTACTGAATGAGGCAAGTGATTTGTCACACAAGTTAAAAGTTTTCGACGAATTGGATCTGGAGCTGAATGCATTTGGAAATACTGAAACTCATCATCATGAACCGGACGAAGATTTTGACCCAGAAATAAACTTTTTTGAGAACTCTGAAAATAACTGCAAGTATTATACGGATGAGCAGTTTAACAGCAATGTTAAGACTGAAAACAATTTATCATTAATTCATTTTAATAGCAGAAGTTTATATGCAAACTTTCAGAGTATAAAACATTAT